ATGCAAGTGATGGGGTTCCAGGAACAGGTAGCTTACATTCACGTATTACTAGCCCTGGGTATGCCTGCGGGCCAGGTCTCTGCAAATACGTACATTGTTGATGATAACAGAGTGATTGATGAAGACTGTAGGATTACCAAGACCAATGTCGTGGAAGTCGTCAATGTGCCACGTATGATAAAGGCCAAATACACGGTGGATTTTCTGTCTATGGCTAACCTGGCCAACGTGTCCTTTATGTGTGTGCTTCGGTTGGAGCATGATGCACTGATTATAACAGCAATCAGTTTGGCCTCACCTTGGAACCACACAGAACGTGTCATTCATGACACAGTTGGGAAATACCTCCAAAAGTGGACACACCAGCGAAACACATGTGAAGATAAACTTCGCATCCACTATCCCGACAACACCAATGGTACTTACCAACTTGTGGCCATCAAGCCCACATGGAACGCCAAAGTCAACACAGGAAGTCCAGTAAGCATGTTAGCCCGCATTTCGCCATCTAGCTCACAATCTCTGAGATGCTTGCACCATTTTCTTCCATTCGGTGTAGGGCGGAATCCCATGAAACATGGGTTCAGAGTGGTGCGTTCGGAAAGCGAACTTGGTGCGTTTTTGGTGAAAGATAGGGTGGAATTCGGGGACACAGGTACCTATGAATGTGAGAACTCACAAGGTCCCAGACGAATCGGGTTCGCCAAGCGCTATTTGTACGTACGTCCTGATTCGTCAGTGCTGCAGCTGTTCATCACACATCAGCGTTTCACTTCGGTACGTGAGTTGCGAGGGGCATACAACTATTGCACAGCCAACCATAGACCGATGTTGTTCAGCAAACAGAGTCTACATGTTCATTGTGTTCGCCCGTACACAAACGGAACACAAATGGATTGGAACGAGACTGTGCATATAGTGCTTAGACCAGTAAACGGATTTAACGGAACTGGCGATCCAGAAAGCTTCATCACTGATCGATACCGTACAGAAAGCGATCATACTTACAGTATTACCTCCTACCAGCTGACTGCTCCGGCGGCACACGACTATATTGGATTATTACATTTCAATTGCGAGCTAACATTACGCCGACGAGATCAGCATCTGGAACCATTCACTACACGTACCACTAGAATAATCGAGGTGGAACCACTAAGAGCACCGATTATTTATCATCTCATGGCCGAGGCATCGGATATTGTCCTGCAAAGACATATCAGAAATGCACCAGTGTCCGTACTCAGTACATGGGAATTTAGTGATCCGAACGCCAATGCATTGTTCGTAAGAGAGAGCAACACCTCTCTTATGGTTCCCGCATACTTGGGTCATCCAAGGGGACATTTGACGGTGTGGATGCTGTATGAATACGAGGAGGGCTGGCACGCGGAACGGTGCCGAAAGTTGCGCGTGGTGAATTGGACGAACGAACAGGCAGCGACTCTGTCAGCAGACATGGGTGGACTATTGCCTTCTCAAGATCCTAATACAGTTAGTGTGATGTTTCACTGCGGCATTCGATTGGAGCACAGTGTGATAGTGATCGGGGTTTATCAGTGCTACGCACCATACTTGGAGGCAATGCAGGTGGATCGAGCGTTCCTTGCGTCGGTGATTAGCAACATCAAAAGTTGGATTGTACAACCCTCTAATGCTACTATCCGTGTACCCATGTTACCTGAAGGTTCTTCGGGCATAGTCCACCCAACCAAGATAACGGTGTATTGGAAGGGCTACTTCCACATTGGCGATCGGATGTCTCTGCCAGGATATCTGGGTGACAGTGATGCGGATGTAGACGAACTGCGCTACAGGGTGGATTGCATGTACCAGATGACAACGAAGTCAGCAATGGAAAGCCTCCATGGATCTACTCACTTATGGGTTGTGCCACAAACGTACACGTTTCAGCTGATTAAAAGGGAGCTCCAAGCTCACGATTTTGGTTACTACTCTTGTAAAGTGGGTCACAAGGAGAGAACACGAACAAAACACGCGGTTGGGTTCGCCCAACGACTGTTGGCTGTGTTACCTGGACCGCAATCCATCCGCATGATACTCAACCCGAAGTTGCTTGATGTAACAAAGGACTTGACGGAGAAACATAGCAGATGTGCACACAGCTCTAACCCATGCATGTCACCGGATGCAACCACATACGTGTACTTTGGAGGATTCATTAGTCCGGTGCTACGCGACATCGACACCATACTGAGTGCCAATCTGCTGGTGAGAAACAAGTCCGAGCGCATACCGCTCGTGTACACTGAGGAGTCACATGGCACCTATGGAGAAATACTCATGTTGAAGGGTCAACTCAAAGTTCCTGATGTAGTGCCTTATCTAAGTGAAATCAGAATCACAGGACGATTAAATTTTAACACTCTACCACCAGTGTTGAGGAGCTATTCATCACCACGATCTCCCTGGACAGTGACTGCGAAGAGAACTATCTCGATTCATGTGGAATACACGCCGGAGATATTCACTGCATTAACTACCGCAAGTCTAGTAGGCATTCAGCTCGCATTGCGGACGCAGCGGGTGAATTCAGTGTTCAGTTCACAAACATTCCAAACAAGTGGTCCAACTGGTCGTCTGTTGGAGGGTCTAATGGAGTTGAACCTCTCGACGTATATCGGCACTCCACCCGGTCTGTCTGCTGTGTTTATGTTGAATGTGCGGGATGGTCGGATTCGAGCAGAGCATTGTCGACACAAGACGACTGAACTGACCAAGAGTACGATCCATGAGAGCGTGAAACGTACCAGCATATATCATTATTCCATGGGAGAGCGCTTCGAGCAAACTCAGTCACATTGTCCATTGAGACCAACACACATGGCCCTTGTGGTAGCTGTGGTGAACAGCATGGATCCCCTAGTGTCGCCTGCGTTGACAAGGAAGCGATTTGAGAACATACTGGTTGGGCGAGTGGAGCATTGGCTAGGTAATCCGAGTGACTTGAGCCCGATGCCGATTCGTCTGCCACCTAGACACAATGTGGTGTATCAATTGGTGCATCTGAAAATTGGGTGGCGAGGTGTCATACCGAAGGGCACACCTGTAGTTCTATTCGGGATGACAATGACAAGGGCTGTAAGATGTTATTATCAGTCGGATGCGAATGGCACTAAGATACAGGTTGGTACAGTGGGTAGCGAATTCCGCATTGTCCAAGGGGAAGCTGGACTGACGTTCGAACTGATCAGTCCCCGAGCTCAGTTAACTGATACAGGTATATATCAGTGTATAACCGACTCATGTTTGTGGTGCAATTCGCGTCATGATTTGGTGGTATTGCCACTAAGAATGGAAGTACGCACCGTATTGAGCGAAAAGCAGCCCATTGAGGAATTAGGACCTGTGGAAACGTACGGTTTCGTGGATGAACAAGGCCAACCATATACTTACCCCGGACAGTCCTTCTATGTTCACTGTATGTCTCGAACGGACATCCCTGTCAGTAGCCGACCTCATATGCATTTTAGTTTCTCTAAGCCCCCATTGACCGCGGAATTCTTAGGGAACTATGTCTTCTCTTCTGGCGCACTGCAATCACACATGGATGCAACGTACTCAACACACGGTCTAGCATACCGAATATCAGTTCCTTTGGATTTCACAGTTGCGGAAACCTTCCACACTACATGTGTATTTGGTTATCCGATAAACATGTCTCACTATGACATAAACGCAGGGGTACTACGCAAGCAATACAATTGCACCAGGTATGTGCAGCTACGTGCTCGCCAAACACCACGGATTTTGAATAACATGGTCAGTACAGATTATGCCCAGTTAACCGAGCTGCTGAGAAACCCTGTCGCTTCTAATATTGATGCTGTCACTTTGAACGTACACATCAACCATGAACCCGTGAAGGAAAGCATCATCGAAGTGAAGTACACAGCCATGCTTGGGCAGCCACGGGGATGGACCGGTGTCTACACAGTACTTCAGGACACCGTAGATGTAGCAGCTGAACAATGCAGTGGATTTACCTGGGCTGAGGCAGATAATGGGAACGCAATTGGAGAAGAGAATATCAGAGACAAAACAAGCATTGATATGGATTTGGTGGAACCATCAAAGCTTTTCACCTTCCGATTTCGATGCTTTTTGCAACTGCAAACCATGGGAGTTTTCGTATTCGCGATGCACTCAATAATCACACCGTATGACGTGAGTGCGCTCACAAAGGAATTCGTCAACTCCGTCGAAAGGACGGTTAGCGAGGCTATCGGGGGTACACGCAAAAAGCCACCACAAGCGCCTTCATTTCCATTATATACCGATGGGACATATCGTTTAGCTCGCATTAACGTCGGATGGAATGCTTCCGTTGAGGTCGGGTCTGTCATACGAATGTTCGGCCGACTTACCAAAGATGGAGGAGGTGATCCGATCTGCATGTACTCAGCTGACGCAGACAACTGGACTCCCCCGAATGTCAGTGGAGCATTCAATCTGCGAATTTTCAAATCCATGGGATACTTTATTTTGCACAAACCAAAGGCGGAACTAGGCGATTCGGGCTGGTATCGCTGTCGGCTTGCCGATTGTCTTTATTGTTCATCCAATATGGGGATGACCGAGAGACTGCTGGTTGTCATGCCAGATCAGTCTGTGTTACAAATACACCTTCAACTGACTGACGAGTTGGATCGCCTTGCACAGACATGTGAGCTGGGTGACACCTTCATCTTAAAGCCTCAGATCGAGTACGTACTGAACTGCATACACTCAGTCCCGATGGGATTCCCATATCCCTTTTTCGCCTCTGCCGGTGTGCACTTCAAAGATGAAAACAGATGGATGGATTTGCAGGAAAAAGACGCGCGACAAACGAAGATGACTGCTGAACGTGCGACTCGATTCAACCGATCAATGCAATTTACACTACCACACCCGTCATCGGGCGATTTGTATGAAGTTGATTTGGTGTGCGCACTACAGCTTGATGAGTTCAGTGTGCAATACGACATGATCAAGATGCGACCGGGTAGAAAACTGAGTAAGAAGGTAACTGTGATGGTCACTCATGTGCGACCGCCCGAATTCGTTACCAACTCAATAGGGGCGGATGAACCATCCATAGCTGAGGTTTTGCAAAGTGTCGCCGCTGGTAGACTGGACAGGAAGTCGTTTTCGACGAACATAGGTAAGTCGATTGTTTTAGAGGGTCCTACAGGTGTATCCTTTCGCATATATTCAGGGTCGCCTCCCGGTTGGACGTTTGGCTGGTCCATTATCAAGTGGAAGCACACATTATGGACGGATGATTGTCTGTTCCTGCACGACAAATCGCATGTAAATCGTACCCAGTACGTGAGTGTGACATGCGTGATGCAGCCGGAAAATGTGGCCCTGGTACTCGTTGCGGTGAATGTGCCAGGGACGCAGTGGACTCGGAGTATGGTCGAGGCACATGTAAGGCAGGCTGTGTTGACTAACATATCCGAATGGATGGATTTGAACAATAAAACAACGGAGAGCGACCGCTGGTCGGCATGTTATAATGTAGCTTACCGTTTTGCCCCAGTGCAAGTTCAGTGGAATTCGACTGTCCGGGAGGGCGACGCCGTTGTCATGTACGGGCTTCTCAATGGTCGACACGAAGAGGAGGACTTAAAGTGTATGCGGAACTGGAAGCCGATTCAGTGGCACGACCACATTGCACTGAGTCCTAATCCAGTGGGGAATTATTTTACCATCACCATCGCCCATGCCATCTACTCCGATACTGGTATATACGAATGCAGACCGGATCACACGGTGACATCCCAGAGGGAGTTTTGGGGGCTTGGGCCACGTTGGTTGCGTGTAATACCTGATTCGTCCAAAACGACCAAGTGTGGGCTGTCGGTTGACAAGGCAGGAAGCAAAAGGCTCAGAAATGGAGGTCAGGCCATAAACGGGTTGGACTATTTGATGGCAGGCGAAAAGGCGTATGTGACGTGTATGTTTGAAACAGGGTTCGCCGAGTTTTACCGACCAGTATTCCGGTTGAAACACCACATGCTGGACACAAGCACGGGGCACTCAGAGCCTGCAGACATAACCTTCAACATTGTGGTATCGTCACACGCCAGTGGAACGTTTACAACGTACGTGTATGAAATTGAGGGCATTCGATCCAGGTTCTACAAGGGTCCTCTGACCGCCACTTGCGAAGCTGTAATCAAATTGCACCATGTGGACGAAGGGTCAACCCGCCAGCATGTTGTATCATGTCAACAAACATATGCTGTGTTAGAGCCAGCAAATGGCGAGGTGCTGATTGAGACGTTGTCAAAGGATTATGAGTCGCAACCAGTGCCCCTGGGTACGGAGTTCAAATGCACCGGTGGTTATGGATCACCACCCCTGAAACACAGTTGGACTCCGAACAACATCGGTCAGTATGAACGTATCTCATCCGTCCGAGTCCCAGACACCTCAAATCCAGGTGATCACCATGATTGGATCGGGCCGAGACAAACTTTCACAGATCAACCGACCAATGGGCTGCTCATCAAGGAAGATAAATTGCTCATTCCATATGACCGTCGTTATCGGGGGATGAGCTATTTGTACACGTGTTGGGGCAATAACTCCATTGAAGACGAGGTGTGGAGTGTGAGAAAAACAATTCGCTTCACCGTGATGATATGTCCGACGCGAGTTGTTCCATTGGATCTGACTATCCTACTAAGCTCACGACTACTCTCTCGATGCACTCTCGAGGGTAATCCTGACAGAGAGATACAGTTCTATGGGCATTTTTATCTGCCCTTGATTCAGCAGCTGATTTTGGGTCTGCCGTACGGACCCACGCAAGTGCAGTTCCACTTCATACGCGATGTTGTCTTCGACCACAACACCTCAATTAGTTTTCCGCTCACAGCATTCAACCAGCAACTTAGTCGGGAGCAGTTGCTCCGCACCGTCAATCCGATGGACTGGAAACCTAAAACCGATCCTGGTGGCTGCGGTGCGTCACCCATCATCTTCGACTCGGTATTCGCGCACCTAGCTAGATTGCGTCATGTTCCACCGCCCGGTCGCGAACACGTTCTCGTGTTGCCATTTGATGATTTCACTGACATTCGCATCAGCAATGAGACCAGTTCTTTGCTCTCCATGCTACTGCGTACCAACATGACCATTTTGTTGCTCAGCACAGTCGGACAAGGAGCGCGTGGGAGTGCAATTATCCACAAGCTGGAGGATCTACTTTCCCCCGTGCGCACGATTAACATTTTGCCCAACTTCGATGGTGACACCGACTGCTTGAAATGTCGTCCTCGATTGGAGGCGGTGACATTTCGCATCGCTCGAGATAAAATCTTTGATACGGTATGTGAGGCGACCGGTATCCTTCTTCCGGATTCCTGTCCTGCACCCGCTCTACACTTCTCCATACCAAGTCGCCACTGGTACAATGGCCAACATCTGGGAATCACATGTACTGCTAATTTAAGTCGGCCGTTTCGTGGACAAACTGTCACAGGTGTGGCGATTTGCTTGATTAACGGAACCGTCTTGCAAAGCCTGGAGCAACGTCCTCTCAATATCCAGCATCTGATGAATGCGTGTAACAAGGAGCTGGCCAATCGTGTTACAAGCGTGATTTCTGAACCAAGCGAATTTTCAGTGAGTGCTCAGTTATGGCTGCGGAAGTGGAAGGGCGTGGCCCCACTGCTCATGTGTTATCAACGGCAAGGTAATAAAGATCCGCAGGTGAGTGTGGCATTTATGCGTTGCATTTCACAACAGTGCGGATTGATTTTATCGGTGGTCAGCGGTTTGCTGTTGCAGTAATGATTGCCGCAACTGTTGATTTATCGCTTGGACCTCGTTTGGCAACGAGCAGGCTACAATCTCGAAGGCTGTTTTCATCTTGCTAAGCATAGTAAATGTTCTGGCAACCACAGAATGGGCGCATCGTTTATCTCCCCAAAGCAAATGTTTTACAAACTCCATGGTACTCTTGAAGGAGACTTTCGGTCACAGCATCATTCTTTTGGTAGGTTGCAACTTTACGGTTGTCGTATTAAGCTCTCTGGAGTACGTTCAGAGTTTTGGTGTAGAGCTTCTTCCGAACAACCTCGCGATGGGCTTAGACTATGCTGATGATATTACCTTGCTTGAGGACAACTCACAGATTAGGCAAGTCATTCGAAACGGCTTGGCGATTGAAGCTACCAATTAAGACATGACCTTTGCGTCATCGGAATGCAGAGACCTACGTAGAGATTGGCATCCACCTGCCCAGTGTTGATTCTTGAAGGTTTGCAGCTTGAACAAGTGGACAGCTTCAACTACCTTTGGAGCTGCGTTTCTGCTGATGGCAACATTGGGAGAGCGATTCCTATCCGTGTTGAAGAAGCTCGACCAGCTTTCATTAATCGTCCTCTTTGCATTCCACCGTCGGTAACAGACAGAATCCATAATGCCTGTGTTCGCGCGGCATTGTTTTACGGAAATGAGTCCTAGCCGGTACTCTTTACTTGGTCCAGCAGTAAGTCGACTTCCAACTTTGACATCATCTTCCTTGTGGCAACTATTGTGCGTGACGATTCAAATTGGTTTACGTACACGGTAGCTAAGACATCTGCTAGATTAGCTCACTACGGCAGTAATGTGGCAAATTGGTTTTCCGGGCCCACGTAATGATCTTAGCTTTGTTCTCTGAACCTAACGTCACTCACCCAGTAGGATAGGCTGATTTCCACAAGATCACGGCAGGATATCACCGAAATGATATATACAATTTTATACTTAACTGGGTAGGTTTCAGGGGGATTAATCGATTGTTATCGACTATCGCATCGCTTTCGAAACGTCTGGAATATTCCAGTGCCTGCACGTGACTAGCAACCACTTGCAGATCTGCCAAACCTATGGAGAACCACTAATCTTGGCGGTTGACCTTCCAGACATCGAAGGTCAGTAAGATGACTAAAATACAGCCAAAGTCTGCTGCAGTTGTACAGTGTTTGGTTGACGGCAGTTAACACATTATTTTGTCAAGGTCATTGAGGCTCTGCTTTTGCCTTTTGTTAGGCTAGAAATTTTGTGGAACAGTAAAGTGCCTATTCCGGAATCGCGTCTAGTGAGCGGATTATCATAGTAGGCATTTCATTTGTGCGTAGGACAGTCGGCCTCTGTTAACTACAGCTCGTCGGCCGGTGGCCGAGTGGTCTGCACGTTTGCTTTGCAACCATAAGGTCACCGGTTCGAATCCGCATAGGGATGGGCATCCTCGCGGTATACTCAGCCCGCGCGCGACTGGTGGTGGTCGCGCGGCAGTGAAGCGCCGTTACGGCGTACAGCTGACACATTATTATTATTATTATTATTATTATTATTATTATTATTAATTAACTACAGCTCAAAAGCAACGCCGGCATGTCACAAATGATGCAGCAACTAAATATTATTCCAGAAGAGCAGTGAGGGAGATGAATGTTGTAGGTAGAAATTCGTCACATCTAGGCTCACTTAGACAGCCGTCACACGCCCGGAAAAGCACTGTGCACGCTTTCCATCCTTTCGGGAATCGTCAGTAGTGCGCATTCCATCGGGCCCTGGTAGGGCTCGAACCCGCAACTCGACTGTTGCCAGTCCGTGGTTGAGACCACTGAGCTACGGGGGGACGGCAACGACCATTGTGAATAAGTTACTAGATGTGATATAGCGCCGCTCACTATCCACTGACTTGCACGTTACTGTCGTGCAGTAACACAGACCATACCGGCTATACTAATGTCATAAGTTAATTGGCGGCTTAAGTTTGGTAAGCACGTCGCTTGGTAAGGGGGGTACGCTGTCCTCTGCACGGCCGCAACTGGTCCGGTTCCCTGGTGGCGTTCCACGTTCGCACTCTAACATAAATAGCTAAATAGGCTGCACTCGCACTCACGTTGGACACACTAGGTATTGACGTATGCTGTGCGTCTGAAACTATATCAATGACCCTAATGAGGTTGTTGAATTAACTGCGCCCGGCTTGTCCTCTCTCTACTGGTTGCAGCATCCGGTGACGCTGATGCAGCAATCAAGGGTCAAGCTGGGCTAGGTATCATTCACAGCTCCAAGGTTAAACCATCGTGGGTTGCTTGGATTCCAGTGAACCGCCGTTCGTGTGCAGCCCGTTTGATGACATCAAATAAGTTTGGTTCACGAAGTAGTACGACACGATGTTTGTTTGTGATTTCCGCTTATGCTTCCACCGAATGCTGCGTCAGATAAGATGGCTCGAACACAATGTATGGATGTCAGCTGCGACATTACCAGATTGCGACCTTTTCGCTCGTGCAGGATTCGGCTGGCAGAGGTCATGTGGCGGTCAGTCGTCCACCTGGTGACAGCATAGGAAATCATTGACTTCACGTCATATTGCCTTTGAATCCACACGTCTGCCGGGCTGAGGACCAAAGAAGGAATATTGCCGATGACTGTAAACAATTCAATGAACAATGATTTATCACGGGGTAAAAGCAAGTGGCTGACACGTCCCGTAGGATGGTTGTGGTGAGTATGATGAAATCAAAATATGTCTGGGTCATCTACCGAACATCTGCCGAGATGAATACTTTGATACTTAACATCAGTGTAAAAGTAAAATAAATTACCGAGCGTAAACGTTCAGAAAGACACTGGGGTGCAGTGATCGTTGAGGTAAGGAGTGAGAAAAGTAAAATTTGATCGCTCACTTAGGTCCATTTGGTACATAAATCCTGTTGAAAAGCATGCTTCGCGTAATCCACAATAGAGGAGTTTAGGTAACCAAATCTTGGAAGCTAAGAGCAACACCTAGTCGTTTTTTGAAAACATCCAAGGTAGGAGAGGATACAACTGAGTCTGGGAGAGCGTTCCAGGGTTGGCAAACCCGAAGGGAAAAGTAATTCCGTCGACACTCTAGACGGCTATATTGTTTCTTCAACTTAAGTCAGTTACCCCTGAGCTGCGTGTTGTGGCTAAGTTTCAGCAAATGGCGGCATACGTAGTCGGGGTCACTCAGTATCTGATACGCTAAAATGAGATCAAACACTAGGTAGCGAAGAACACTCTCTTCGATAAATCTCATCAGGCGTTTGCAATTATAAAATAGAAAGTTGAAGCGGGATAGGCTGATGAAGCGTGAAAAAGATTGGCGAATCAAAGCGAGCAGAAAGTCAGCTGTCCTAATCGATAAATTGGTCGATCCAATCAAGGAGCGGCTACCACAGTATACGTAGGCAGGCATAGATACACACATACACACACACGTATGCTCACGAGACATAGGACGTGCTTTTCAACTGATTGGGTGACGCACTCATCACCCGGTGGTTGTCAGCGCTTCTACCCCAGGGCAGAAGGAGCGCTTGAATAAGCGCTCTCTGCATAGTTCAGGTTGTGTAAGCCTGATCGCAATGGCTTCGGCCGTCCGTAACATTCGTTTCCTAAGCCCCTTGGGGTAGCGTTTTGGAACAACATAAAACACTTTGAAAGCATCAGTAGCCTTGATTTGATGTTCACTTTCTACCAGAGGTTCTAGGATAGAAGTCTGGATGCAACCGACAGTACCTTTCTGCAATGTCGTGGAACAGTGCTCCGATATCCGTTTAGACAGACGTCTAGTCATATGTCCGAGATACTTCACACCACAGGTGCAAGTAAATTGATATAGAATATAAGATTCGGACTGGACCGGGAGTCTGTGTTTGAGACGTTGGGCAACAAACGGCACAGTTTCAACAAGGATGTGTGGATACGCAGCTGGAAACGTTCGAGCTATTGCAGCGGAAACTCTTTTGTTCAGCAACTCAAAAGCAATATCTCCCTTAAAGAGAACTGATAGAAACACGTCCTTCTTGGGGACAGTTGTAAGCAATTCATGTCGATCATGAATCACTGCGTGCTTTCGGATGAAGTGGGCTGGATAACCGTTTACTTACAGCGTTTGGAAAATGCTGTTATTTTGGGCCCCCAAGGTCTCTGGGCTACATATTTGGGCAGGGCGAAAATACAGGCAACGAATAAGGTTTCGTTTGTACTTCAAGGGTACAAAACTGCAAAAGTGCGTGTACTGACCGACCCACATCATTTTCCGAAACACACTTCTTTCTATTGAACCGTCTTCTTTTATCCTTAGCAAAACGTCCAAGAAGGCCAGTTTCCCATCACTCTCGAGTTCACTAGTGAACTTCAAAGATGGATGTATACTGTTTAACCGGTTCAACAGCCCACTTCATCCGAAAGCACGCAGTTATTCATGATCGACATGAATTGCTTACAACTGTCCCCAAGAAGGACGTGTTTCTATCAGTTCTCTTTAAGGGAGATATTGCTTTTGAGTTGCTGAACAAAAGAGTTTCCGCTGCAATAGCTCGAACGTTTCCATCTGCATATCCACACATCCTTGTTGAAACTGTGCCGTTTGTTGCCCAACGTCTCAAACACAGACTCCCGGTCCAGTCCGAATCTTATATTCTATATCAATTTACTTGCACCTGTGGTGTGAAGTATCTCGGACATATGACTAGACGTCTGTCTAAACGGATATCGGAGCACTGTTCCACGACATTGCAGAAAGGTACTGTCGGTTGCAACCAGAGTTTTATCCTAGAACCTCTGGTAGAAAGTGAACATCAAATCAAGGCTACTGGTGCTTTCAAAGTGTTTTATGTTGTTCCAAAACGCTACCCCAAGGGGCTTAGGAAACGAATGTTACGGACGGCCGAAGCCATTGC